CCGACTTTAATGTGAACAACTTTGGGAATCCACAAGCTTTAATTTCACACACATACATACAAAAACATGTACTGGAACATAACATGGAAATGTTTTTAAGTCCCTTTGGGTCTGGAGAGATAATGAACTTGTATTTAAGCTTCCCTCCTTAAGTTTATGTCTTAACATCCACCCCCTTTTTTAAATAAACATAAAAATCTTAAGCCTTAATGTTAATTGAAAATTTTTAAATATATGAAGTATAAGAGCTAAAAACAAATCAGTTCCTCCAACCTTATTACCAGTTGAACTCAGTGCTTTAGTGTGAACACCTACTGAATCATTCAGGGATGACAACTCTAGGTCCTCCTGGTAGACCTTGCTGGCCTTTCTTTCATCTACTTAATAAAGACTTGAACATTTACAACTGAATCGAAGGCAGATTCTTCCCACAACAAGATGAACAACTATGTTTAAGCAAAAACTGTTATTTATTCCCAGAATACACCACAAGGCTCCACTCAAAATACTTCCCATAAGCTGCTGGAAAAATGCAAATTAGAAGACTCAAACTCTTAACCCTATTCTGTTAGACAATGTTGGCTAAGCTGTACAACCTGTACTTTTTAAATAAAAATATTCTTCTGCAATAGGGATGTAACTCAGTGAGAGAGGGATTGCCTAGCATATATGTGGCTCTGGGTTCAATTCCCCAGCACCATAATACATAAATAAATATATACAATAAAGACTTTTCTCCTCAGTAAATTACTTCAAGAACTTTTTGTAAATTCAGGAGTCTGACAGACCTAGAAACAGACTCTCAGTCCTATAAAAGAAGGTATGTTTTCCAAAGAAGCAATGTTATAAATGATGGCTGGTTTTGTCTGTATAATTCTCTAAAACTTAATTTATCCATTATACAATTGAGCTTTCTGATTCTGCAGTTTTAGAAACCTGAGGACTAAAGGGTTGTTTCTATGGATAAATGTTTCTGAATTCCAAACTCAAAAAGTTAACTTTTCTAATATACAAGTATCTACCACAACTTAAAATGAGGCTTGTTTCTTAAAGTTTTCAAAAAATAAACACAAAAAAATTAAGAATGCCAGAGTCAAGTTAAGAAGCATTAAATAACCTAACATAAAAATACAAAACGAACACAATAATATAGAATTTCATATCTGGAATAATCCTTTATTTTTTAATGTTAATCTTATATAGGAATGATTAATAAATGACTCTACTTTGAGTTTACTTGAGAAAATAAAAATCCAGATACTCCTAAAGATTATCATGCAAGTATAATGCTCTTTTTAATGCATATTTAATATACTAAATACAGCTCTAATTTAATATAGATCTTCTGCAAAGTTGTGTTTTTTTTCTATCCAATCAGAATTAAGATTTCAACCATTCCAAGTGGTAATGAGGGGATATTTTAAAATATTCTTTTAGGGGTTAATCCTATCATTTCTTAAACCAAACCCACCACTTTAAATAGCTTTGACTACTAAGGATTTCATTCATACATTCACAAAACATTTCATTCACACATTCCGATTTATACAAATCCTAAATTTGAACATATACCCCAGAACTTACTACCTGAATACTATGGGCAAGTCACCTTATATTTCCAAGCCACAGCTTCTTCATATTGTAAAATGGAGATAATTAATGTGCCTTCACTATAATACAGGATCAATTAAATGATGTAAATACACTTCTGGAAAGAGTACTGGTAAACACACATAGATGTTTGTTATTATTATAAGATCTGCAAACACCTACATTTTGCTAAAAGAAAAATTTTTGCTCCAGATGTTCTTTCTGGATGTTTGTTCAGATGTAGAAAGCAAATAGCCTATAGTTGCCTATAGCTTATAGCAAATAGCCTATATTAAAACCAAACAAATCTCCAGGGACTCTCTAAAGTTCCTTCCATGGAAGAAGAGTAAGACGTTAAAACTTAGATACCTGTATTTTAACATTTTCAAAGATGGATTATACATTTCCACTACATTCCTCTTGAGGGCAAGAATAATATCTCAGTCATCATTTTAGCTGCAGTAACTGGAACAGAGATTAGCTCTGTGGGTTTTTTTTTTTTTGTCTGTCTTGTTTTGTTTTTCTTTGCTTTGTGGTATAGAAATTAAACCCAGGAATACTCTACCACTGAGCTACACACCCAGTTCTTTTTACTTTTTATTTTGAGACAGGGTCTCACTAAGTGACCACGTTTGCTTCCAACTTGCAATCCTTCTGCCTTAGACTCCTGAGCTGCTGGGATTACAGGTGTGCATCACCACATCTAACAGCTCTGTTTAATAACTATTTATCAGATTACACTTTTCCAGAAAAAAAAAGTAAAATGTGCATGAAATATATGTGAGATGGAAGGAGCTCTGGCCCTAGAATAGAGACACTTGATCTCAACTCTCTACATAAACTTGCACAAGCTCCCCAAGTGTCTTGAGTCTCCGTTTCCTTTTAAAGTCTACACTATAAGGTAATAAGTAAAGCCTCTTTTAGTTGATGTATGATATTGCACCACAATACTGCAAATAAGGCCTGTGAGTAACAAAAATGGAAAAATAAAAGTTTCTCCCAAAGTCCACGCAAGTACTTTATCCATAGTAGAAACCTACTGATTCTTACTTTAAGTATTTCTAACAAACTTGGTTATTTGGTTATGAAATATTCCCCACTGTTGGTTAAAATAGATCAGATGTTGAAAGGAAGAGAAATTGGAGAACCCTAAAAGTTTCCTCTTCTTGATGCACTACTTTCTCAAGTAATCTGCACACTAACTATTCTTACTTTGTCACTACATTAACCTTGATGAGGCCAGAAAGAAAAAGTCATCTAATTTAACATGAATTGGAGTTACCTGAGACATTTTACATTCAGAAATAAAATGGATTATTTCACAGAATTAATTTTACTAATTAATTTGTCACTACATTTACCTTACCTTATCCCCCGTCAAGACTAAAGACACCAAGATATGAGAGTAACTAGATATTTTCAAGATACCAGGAATAGTCAGCAGGCATTCCTGGATGCTTGCCCATGATGGGACTGCCCCTAGGCAGGAGGGATTACCCCAGGATAAGAACTGAAGCTGTTCTTTGAAGCAAGAGTAATCCATTGCCCCCTAAAGCAATGACATCCCAGCAGAATCAGACCCAAGATAATGATCAACCAGATGACATAGTCTGAACAAGTTTGCTTCACTATGCACACTTCTCACGCACTCCCCTTTTTGTTCCTTTCCCTTTACCAACCTGAAGCTCTTGTCAGTACCCCAATGACAGGGGTAGGATGCTAGTCCCCTTGCTTCCCAGTGTGGTTCTGACCACAATGAATAATAAATTCTTTTCTGGCTTCATCATCACTCAGGTCTCTGGACTCTCAAGGCAAAAAGTGGCAGAACCTGGTCAGCTGAGGACCCTGAAGCTTACCTAGGCTTCTGTAACAACTTCATGGAAGTAAAATGTTACTAACTGGGAACTACAAGTCATCAGATCCTTTAAGGCAAAGACCACTGGTTGCCAATTCTGATCTTTAAAGCATATGACAGCTCTATAGCCATCCTGAGACTGTCTTTGAAAGTACTTTTATCTGTCACTAATGGGAATCCAAACACATTTAAGTCTTTTGCAAAGTTAAATAAGCCAAGAGTCTTAAGAATCTTGAGCAAATACTTGTATATCCACTAGATGACTACATAATGGAAACTAATTTTTGATGGAATGTAAAAAATATCCCAGGATAGGGGCTGTGTATATAGCTCAGTAGTTCAGCACTCGCCTAGCCTGGCCAAAGCCCTGGGTTGGATCCTTGGCACTACAAATAAAAGAAAAAAATCAGGATAAAAATTATATATGAAATGTAATTACAATTATTATTTCTTTTAGAACTATGCATTGGAAAGAAGGGTTGAAAGAAGATTGAATCAAGTTCATTCTTTGTGTTTGGATAATGAACTTGGTTGACATTTTCTTTTCTCCATATTAAATTTTACTAAGTGAGTAAAATTTGTTTTACAATGAAACCATAAAAAAGGATAAGAGGGAAGAGAGGAACACTGCTTAGAGATAAGGAAATGGCATAATTAGAACAGTTAGTTACCATTTAGTAAGTGTTATAATTAAATTTTTAAACTAGCAAGGAACTTTCTAAGTGATCACAAATAATTAAATCAGAATATTTGTGCTGGAGGGCTATCTTGCCTAATTTTATCATCTGACAGATGTAGAGAAGAATTATAATTGTATGATGGATTACAGTTTACAAAGTGCTTTCAAACTGTGGAATCACCTGTCCTTCAAAACACCCGGTTCATAAGCCCTATTCTAGGAATCGGGAAACTGAGGGTTAGAGAGATAACATATACCTGGCACAGTGGTGCATGTCTGAAATCCCAGGGGCTTGGGAGGCCAAGGCAGGATGGTGAGTTCAAAGCCAGGCTCAGCAATGGCGAGGCACTAAGCTACTCAGTGATAAGCTGTCTCTAAATAGTGGGGTAGGGAAAGGGAGCATGGGAGGAACAGAGGAACTCTAGATAAGGCAGAGAGGTTGGAGGGGAAGGGAGGGAACATGGGGTTAGAAATGATGGTGGAATGTGATGGACATTATTATCTAAAGTAAATGAATGAAGACACGAATTGGTGTGAATATACGTTGTATACAACCAGAGATATGAAAAATTGTGCTCTGTATGTGTAATAAGAATTGTAATGCATTCCGCTGTCATATATAAATAAAAAATTTAATTAAATAAAAAATAAAATACAAAATAGGGCTAAGGATGTGGCTCAGTGGTAAAATGCCCTGAGTTCAATTCCCGGTACCCTCCTCCCCCCCAGAAAAAAAAAAGAGAGAGGGATAACATACCAATTCCTAAGATTTATGAAATGCTTACAATATATCAACCTCTGAGGTAAAGCACAGTCTTGTGAAAATTATTCTCATTTTACAGATAGGAAAACAAGGAGAGAGGTCAAGTGACTTACCCACAATTATATAGCTATGAGGCAGTTTTTTATTCAAAACCATACATATAAAATAGAAATTTTGAATTATGCAGATTCAACTTCACAGAGTCCTTTAGTGATAAGTTGGCCTGTGATCCAGTTCCGTAGTCTCACAACTACATTGGTCGTGTTTAAAAAGATTTCCTTAAAAGTTAGTTTGGGGAATGGGGGTGTAATCTCGGTGGTGCGCTCAGCATGGGCAAAGAGTGTGCATAATACAAACACAAAGTTACTTAGTTTGAGAGCCACGCCGAGGATCCAGAAGCAAAACAAGATGTATGGAACTCCATAACTAATGTTAGTGGAGAATCCACGCCTCAGAAGAAAGCAAGGCAGTTAATTGCTAAAAGTGGAGAGGGCAAAGCTAACAAGTCCTTATACGTCTAGTCAAGCATTCAGAGGAAACATCTCTGTACCTCAGCAGCAGAGAGAGCAACAAAAATTACAACAACAATTCTAGCATCTTAAACTCGTGCAACTCAGCACAATTTGCAGGACACCTTCAGGTTCATCTCAAAAGATGGGCTGGGCGGGCAGGGATTAGTCCCACTTTACACAAAAAGCCACAATGCAAGCAGTGTGGGTCGGGTGGCGGCAGGAAAGCTTAAGGGCAAAGGGCAGACACCTGGGGAGACGCGGCATCGCCCCGCGGGGGAGGAGCCCAGGGCCCATCGCGGCTACAAGGCCCAGAACGAGGCCGCGGTCCTGGGTGGTCGCCCCCGAGGCTAGGGGGCTTTGGAGGTCGGCCGAGGTGCCTCACTACTCACGTTGGACCAGCCGGTCTCCCGTGAAGGTGGAAGAGCAGCTCGTAACTAGCGCACAAGGGACGCCCGCAGCCATAGCTGCGCTAGCAAGCCGGTTCCGTCCGGGAGCCACTTCCGCCTTGGGCTGCACCACTGCCGCCGGCACGCGGGTGAGATGCACCGGAAAGAACGCGTTCTTCGAATGGAGCGGCCGCGGACTCCACCCTCAACCCCCTTCGGCTGCTGGCATGGGACTGGCCGGGCGGTGCGTAGTGTTGCCTTGGGAACGATCGCCCCGCCCCCACAGAAGGTTTCTGCAGCTGGAGGCCGTGCCTCCGCAGGGAGGTAGCCCTCCCCGGCCCTAACCATGGCTCAGGGGACTGAAAACTACGACCCCATCGGATCCATCTTAGTCCAGGTGGGAAACGGGCTTCCCTTAGTTCTGCCCAGCTACGACACTTCGGAGCGAGGCCCAGCAGCGCTAGTTCACAAGTTCCCACACATTTGGGGCGCCTCCCCGAGTCCGCCTCCAAGGAGAAAGGTTTTCACCAAAATGCCCACCCAGAGCCACCATAACCGGCCGCTTGTGCCTTACCCTGCAGGTGGTGCTGCCCAACCACTACCGTCCCGCCTCTGGTAGAACCGTTCACACCAACCACCTGTCCTTCAAAAAAATCCATCTTATGTGGTAGCACTGCTTAAAAATGTTATATTCTGAGAAATTTGAACCCATGCCTGAAGGGGTGAAGCAGAGGCAAATTAGAGACATTGGGAAGTGATAAGAAATGTAAGGAGAAAGTGCAATATGTAAACTGGTTTTCTTAACTTAAATATCTTAAATGTCCCTTGTTTAAAAACACAAATAAAAATAATTAAGATAACTTGGATTGCAAATCATGTAAACACTTCAAATATAGAAGTGTGACACATTAAAAAAATGCACGCTCAAATTTGAGAGTCACTAATTTAGATTGTGTGGTAAAATATAAACTTAAGGGTGATTTCAAAGAAAAAATCACAATAATCAAAGCTAATGTATTTACCACATATCATGCACCATTCTAAGTGCTGTGTTTACTTCAAACTCATTTAACCTTACAACAAGACTATCAGTTAAGTGCTATTATTATTATCTGCATGTTATGGAAAGGAAACTGACCAAAGATGAGTACGGTGGGTAGGCCCATTTACATGGAAAATGCAAGCACACGTCTCAAACTTTTTTTTTGTCGGAACTGAGATTTGAACCCAGGGCCTCACTGCATGCCAGGCAAGCACTTTACCACTGCCCTACACCCTCAGGCCCTCAAACCTTTTATATCCATCATTCCTGGTATAAAAGAAAGTCTCCCCTCACCTCTTTTTTTGCTCCTCTAGGCATTTAAATCCTGCCTTTTCTACTGAACTTTTCTTAACCAACCATTAGCTTTGTATATTTACAGACATATATTTGTATAATGTATATATTAAGCATGTACTGGTTAATGGTTAAATATGAAGGCATGAGTCAGATGGCCTGGATTGGAATAGTTCCACCAACTCATCAGCTTTGTCATCTTACAGAGATTTCTTGACCTCTTTAAATGTTAGATTTCCTCAAATATAAAATGAAAATGATCTGACCTCCCTTGTAGGAGTCTTTAATCCTTGCAAGACTCCCTCATAGAAGCCTTATAAGGATTAAAATATAGGATAGCATATAAAGTATAATAATAAATGTTACTATTATTTGTGGTCTGGGCTCTTAACCTTTAACAATATTTAGTCTTGTGTACATTTCTTTTAACTTTACGCTGATTTCTATTTGAATTTCCTGAAAGAAAAGGAAAATTTGTTAATCTGTTTTTTTTTAATCAAAACTCTATATGTGTGTGTGTGTGTGTGTGTGTGTATTTTGTACCAGGGATTTAATTTAGGGGCACTGGACCACTGGGCCACATCCCCATCCCTATTTTGTATTTTTATTTAGAGACAGGGTCTCACTGAGTTGCTTAGCGCCTGGCTTTTGCAGATGCTGGCTTTGAACTCACCATCCTCCTGCCTCCAGACCACTGGGATTACCAGTGTGTACCACCAGGTGTAGCTAATACTATTTCATTCTTAAATGGAACTTTATGAGTGCTTCTATTAGACAAATGAGGAACACCTGGTTCCCCTGTGGTTCTAATCTGTTATTTCTTTTTCTTTTTCCTTTTCTTTTTTGGGTATCCCATTGTACACAGCCCAGGGTTAGGCCCATAGATGATGGATAATAATTTTATGAGTTCAGTTTACAATAATCTACACTTTGATCAAAAATGAATGGCACTGGACTAACATTTAGCATTATGTAGAAAACATTTTTGTAAATGAATAACGTAAATTAATAGTAAAAGTGGTATTTTGAGAACATGACTATAGTACTTTAGAGAAAATATTTAAATACAATAATCAAGGCTCTGATCATAGACTTTAATAAATAGAAACAAATAAGTATTTATTTCTGTATTTCTCTATGTCCCATGCTTTTAAAAAATGTAACAATCTAGAGATTTCTAGATTATAGTTGTGTTCCTTCCTGTATGTTAAAAAAAATCTAGATAAAACCAGAAATCTCAACCTAATTAATAAGTCTAAGGCAATACAATAAAATCAATCATACCATTTTCATCCATGTTTAAAAAAATAAGTTTTTATTTTTTTAATTGTGCTACTCTATTGGGATCATAAACTCTTTTTGTGACTTCTTATGAAAAAACATGCCTAAATGTTTGGATTTTCACAGATAGTTCTGATCATGAATATTCTGTCTCACTGTCAGATCATGTATCCACTTTTTCATTTTTGATTCAGGAACATGATTAACATCTCCACACAGAGTTCTGGTAGGCAGCGTTCTATGAACTACTTCTTCAAGTTTATATATAAATCAGACATTTTTAGCATTTTAGCTGGATCTTTCCTCAACTCCTCAGAAGTTTTACTATAGTAATGACAATCAGCATTATATAACAAAAATAATAGCCAACATATTTTGAAAGCCAGGCTGTTCTGAGAGTTTTGGAGGATCTCATTAAGTCCCAAAAATAACTCTACTAGGCAGGTGTTATTTTTAGCCCAGTTTACAAAAGAAAGTAAGGTAACTTGCCCAGGGTGATACATTCAGTAGCTGTTGATCCTTAAGTAGGTTATGGCATGTTTCTGAAATAATCTTTGTTTAAGTTAGTAAGCTTCGTTTGTCTGCTTCCTGTGTATGATTTGCAAGGAGCATATAATATAAATGAGAATGGTGTGAAAGATAAGTTGAAAGTGATGAGGAGAATTCAAACTTGCTTTTAGCAGAGATGAACAATGGAATTTCATTGGCTTCTGACTAGATGGAGTCTGTTTCTATGGCTCTTTTAAATTCTAGAGCAAATCTTTGCTGCATTAACTCTTTTTTTATGTTTTATCTTCATTTTTAAATTTCAATTTGTTATATAGCAGAATGCATTACAATTCACGTTGTACATATAGAGCAGAATTTTTCATATCTCTGGTTGTACACAAACAAGAGTCACACCTTTTGTGTCTTCATACATGTACTTAGGGTAATGATGTCCATCTCATTTCACTGTCTTTCCTACCTGCATCCCCCCTCCCTTCCTGCTTCCCTTTTCCCCTTTGCCCTATCTATAGTTTATCTAATACTCCCTCTACCACCATATTATGAATCAGCATTCTTCAATAAGAGAAAATATTCAGCATTTATTTTGGGGGGGATTGTCTAACATCACTTAGCATTATATTCTCCAACTCCATCCATTTACCTGCAAATGCCATGATTTTATTCTCTTTTAATGCTAAGTAATATTCCACTGTGTATATATACCACATTTTCTTTATCCATTCAGCTATTGAAGGGCATCTAGGTTGGTTCCACAGTTCAGCTACTGTGAATTGTGCCACAATGGCTGTGTCCCCGTAGTATGCTGTTTTTAAATCCTTTGGGTATAGACCAGGGAGTTGGATAGCCAGGTCAAATGGTGGTTCCATTCCAAGTTTTTCAAGGATTCTTCGTACTGCTTTCCATATTGGCTGTATCATTTTGCAGTCCTACCAACAATGTCTCTTTCCCCACGCCCTCGCCAACACTTATTATTGTTTGTATTCATAATAGCTGTCATTCTGACTGGAGTGAGATAAAATCCTAGAGTAGTTTTGATTTGCATTTCTCTTAATTGCTAGAGATGTTGAACATTTTTTCATATATTTGTTGATTGTATATCTTCTTCTGAGAAGTGTCTGTTCAGTTCTTTGGCCTATTTATTGATTGGGTTATTTTGTTTGTTTGTTTTTTGTTGTTTTTTTTGTGGGGGGGGGAGTTGTTTGTTTTTTTGAGGGTTTTTTTTTTTTTGGTGTTAGGATTTTTTAGTTCTTTATATATCCTAGAAATTAGTTCTCTATCTGACATGTATGTGGTAAAAATCTGTTCCCAAATTGTAGGCTCTCTATTCACCTCACTGATTGTTTCTTTTGCTGAGAAAAAGCTTTTTAGTTTGAATTCATACCATTTATTGATTCTTGATATTCTTGTGCAATAAGAGTCTTATTAAGGAAGTAGGGGCCTAATCCAATATGATGGAGATTTGGGCCTACTTTTTCTTCTAATAGGCGCAGTGTCTCTGGTTTAATTCCTAGGTCCTTGATCCACTTGAGTTGAGTTTTGTGCATGGTGAGAGATAGGGTTTAATTTCATTTTGTTACATGTGGATTTCCAGTTTTCCCAGCACCATTTGTTGAAGATGCTGTTTTTTGGCACCTTTGTCGGATAACTGTAATTAT